CAAAACAAAACAAGAAACAATGATATAATGCATCTTAACAAAACATTACATGAACTAAACAAGTTGAAACAGACCTACAATATTGTGACTATTTTCTTTTAATACAACGTCTAAATTAAGTAAACAAAACAATGTCGAATCTCATACATAGCGGCTATTAGGCATTTTTTTTTTTCATTATGTGAAAAAGCATTTTACCAGAAATATTTTTATAATTACAAAATTTTACAAAGAAAGTATAGTTTCTCTATGGTGAAATTATTTTGGCATTGATTGGAACGAAATATACTTCAGTTTTCTGAACATTATTATCACAATTTTGAACTGTACCAGATTTTATTTATTCAATCTACCGGAACGTTATTAACCGCAAATTCTTATTTGATAATATCGATTTTCCGATTGTAGATTAGTTTACGGTTATGCTTTTAAATTATTTAAAAATTGATGGTACGAAAAATTTGAATATGGAACATTACAATAAAGCAAATAAAGTGCCAGATCTCTGTGAGCGAATAATAAAGTTTTAACGTCATTTTCATTTTATATATAATAATATTATTACTAGCTTTCATCCGCAACACCATTCGCGCGGAAATAAAAAAAATATTAAGTGGCCTATATGTTCTTCGAGACTATGTTCAAACAAACATCCATCCATCTAAATCACACATTATGTGATAATTATTGTAAACAACAAAATAAATAGTTTGAATATAACCTACAAACTTACCCGCAGTTTACCACTGACACCTCTACAGAAACATATATCTATGTCGATTTAACGCATACTTCGTGAACGGTTCTCCGTGTACAATTTATCTAGATCTTATTAACATCTATGTACACTCTTACATTCACATTTACAAGCAAAATTTCACATTCCAAGATTTCTCCCAAATTAATTTATTCATTCCGCATATTGTCTTTGATTTTCAAATAACTTTCGTACGCATTTGGAGATTGATGTTATTTTTATCGCGCAAAACAATGCATTCATTTCCTTTTTAGGCAATGAAAATAATACGAACCAACCAATATTATAAATATATAAGTACCAAGAAATTAGAGTTACCTAAAAACATTTTCTTACAGTTTCATTGTGTATCACTTGTTTTTAATACATATAATATTGGAAAAATACATAATGTTATTTATAAACGCCTACGTCGTTCCCAGAAAATGAATCAGTTGTTGGCGCGAACTGATTCCGTTCATTGTCCATGCCAAATGTTCTTCCGAACATATTATATTACTTTTTAGGGTTCCGTAACTTATAGGAAAAAAAAGAAACACTTATAAGATCATTTTGTTGTCCGTCCGTCTGTCTGGCAAGACCCTTTTATAAATGAATTTGAAATTCAGTTGTCCCCTTTAAAGATATTATTGGCTTCAATGATTCCAGTCTTACTGGGGACACTAAAGTGATCAACTTGACATTTTTTTGACCTTTTATTTAGTCGTAATTACAAGATTTACCACATTTAATCCAATTAAGTACTTTGAGGTTTAACGTTTACGTCAATCAAATGATTCCGAAGCCGGGATTACAAGCTGTTAACAATATTGAAACTTAATGCTAGAACTAACACGCACATCCGTCTTTGCGATAAGTCTGTAAGACAAGATTTCATACCTAATAATATTAACAATTGGAAAACATAAAGAAACAGTTCTTTTGTTTTAGTTCTTTGATTTATCGGAGCTTCAGAAAGAGTAGACAAAGGGAAAGATGGAATTTTCGGGACCCCAAAAGTAACAGAAAAAAGAAATTTAAACTAGTTAGGGTATTAGTATCAGTAAAACTTTGGTGGCTGTATAACTATATTACGAGTTAAAGACAATAAGAGTATCTCAGTGGACATGAGTCACGTTCGGAATCATTTGTATCCCGTTCGTCAGCTCGCTTCCTGTTAGCGTTATTTGCCATGTGTTACTTGTATAGTACATGAACTGTTCATTAGCTTACATACCGCATTACATTTGTACATGCCAAGACATTTTTAGAAACGTTTTCAATTATATTGGCGCCAAATCGTTGTTTATTGAACCGTGACTCCATCTGCGCGAATTAAAACAAAAATTAATTGGTAGCCTATATAGGTATAGGTTCTTCCAGATTGTGATCTAAATCTATGTCAAATTTCAACGAGATGCATTCCGCCGTTCTGGAGATACCTTCAAGCAAACACCCATCCATTGATCCATGTAAAATGTCTATCTGATTTCGCTTAAATAGCAAAACGCTCGTCATCTGCTACGAATTAGAAGGTTTCGATGTCTGTCTTCAATGAACAGAGGTGACGTACAGAATATCTCTTTCCTAAAACCTTACCTCTTTTTCATCCTTTCACAAATTAAGAACGACTACCTTTTTCAAGTGGTTTAAAAAGACAATGTCGCTCTTTAATTATTTTCAGTTTGTTTAATTATACATTTCTGTTGACATTGAAGACAATAGAGTGTTTAAGAGTAATTTGATATCACGCTTCCTTGCTTATTAAGTGTCGTCTTTTGTTGATGAGAAAAAAATATACAAATACTATGCATAACATAACAAGTGACTTTCGGTTTTTCTCGTTCTCTGTTAGCTCTCAAGTGTGTTTATGTTAAAAAGCTTATAATCACTTTAAATAATAGTAGTGCTGTCAAGGCGTTGGTGGCTTAGGGGTTAAGCACTTGTCTTGCAATCTGCAGATCCTAGGTTTCAATCCGACCATGTAGAATATGTTTTTCGATTTAAATACTACATTTATCCGATTCTTACGGCGAAAAAAAACATCGTGATGCACTGCACATATCTGAGAAATTAAGATATTTGTGTAGTCAACTAACCTGCACTGTGCCAGCTTAGTTGACTATGGCCTAGTCAGCCCTAGCTTAGGGTAGGCTCCGAGCCCCTCAGTGAAGTCGTATAGTGAGCTGATGGTGATGACTACTGTCAAATCCAAATGTATTATTAGATTCCGATTATGTGAATTATGTTTATATTAATTATCTGTTATGCTCCTTTGTCTATTCAATAATACGTCATGTTTCATGGTTTTTATAAATTGTAAAGTTGCATTCCTTGCTAATTATAAACATTACTATGGTAGCTTCATCCAATAGTTTTGTAGTACTTGTCCTTAGTTAATTAAATCTCTAAGGATTACTCATTGTATATAAAGTGTGGTTTCTAGTATTTGAAATCGTACAACATTATTCAATTAAAATATTCTCGATCAACTCTTAAAGATAAACTCACGATAATGTTATTTATTTGATTGAATATACAAATACGTAAATACGTAAATTTTCGTCATGTCTAATTAACTTAATACTTCTATGGGCCGGATTTTAAAGCAGCAGTCAGTTAAGTATTCACAAATATTTTAGACAAATAAACAATTAAAAACTATTTGCTATAATCAAATCTTACTTCTTATAAATGCGAATGTTTAGATGGTTGTTTGCTAGGAGGTATCTACAGAACGGCCACGGATCTTGGAAGAAATTGGCACAGATATAGAACATAGTCTGGAAGAACACATAGGTGACTAATTAAGTTTTTTGTTATCACATTACGACGGAATCGCGGACGACAGTTAGTCGTTGTATATTTGCGATTGTACGATGAGCAATGTATGAGAATAGCTGCTAAAAACAGATTCTGCTTGAATTTTGTTAAGCGACAGAACGACTCAAGGACATGGTGGAAATAAGTCTGAATCAGAAACGACACAATCATGGCGGTTATTTCTATCGGTGAACATGAGGAGCGTTTGTGTTTATTAATATATTTATGAAGTAATTTGCTTTAATCATAATATATCAGCTTTCATATTTCTAACCCAGTTAAATGGAGTATATGATCACGGCCAGCTCTCTTCTCCGATTCCCGTGACTTCCTTGTTTTCTTCGTCTATTGTTGTTGTGATAGAAACTAATATCTACAACCTTCCTTACTCTAAAAATCTATGGATGCTTAAAAAAATAATAATAAATAAAATTTTTCAAAAGACTATATGGCGTAAAACTTATTCACAAGTAGTCCCCTTACTAAGCCATTGCATAAGTTTTTTTTTCTGAATGTTGATAGAACAAAATTCAGATTAGGAGCAATCTGAAGATTTAATACATTTATAATTTGAGCAAAAAAGACATTAGCTTTGCTCGAACAGCAAGATATTTGTTTATAGTTTTTTGTTTAGGTCTCGGACAAGTTATAGCGTCAGCTGTATTGGACCGGTCTATGCCTAGAATATGCACTTTCATTTGCATGCCAAAGACACAATTCTGTAGCGTGCTTGTGGTCTATTTAATATGAAGAGATATGTTAGCTAATTTTTGTATATGAGGAAATTACTACTTAATTATCATACTTATTAACGATAAAGTTCTTTTTGTTAATAAATTATAAGCATTAACGGTTATTGCAAGCTTAATAACTCTTACTTTTTTGTATGATTTCTCAGTTAAGATTCATAGTTTCAATATTAATGTAAAGTTTTGAAGTAACTTGTTTTGAACTTTGTTTAAAAGTGTCATTATCGTCACGAAGGTTCACTACAAAGTGACCTTGGTTTAAACGATAAGTCTTTCTGTTACACAGGTGCTTACTGCGATCCAGTCCGTTATAATTTACTTAATAACATGTTTTTATAAACTACTTGTATTTTACCCCAATGCGAAAAACAGAAGTTTGTTGCTAAAATTACGACTGTTTATTAAGTATTTGCATGTATATTTTGTCTAGTAACCTTAACATTTTGTCCGAATTAAGGAGAAATTCGATGCTTATTCATCCTTAGTGTGTTGTCGGCTATTGCCTACTCCGTAGGGTGGGACGCCATAGATCGCGAATTACACAGTCTATCCAAAACACTAATAGCCATCCACCCCCTCCAAACCATGGTAAGAAAGAAGATGCAGTCGATATCTAGCCCAGGGCGCTGGAAGAATTAAGAATGTTGCCCTTTACAAGCTATCACTAACTTTTGCTGTCTGATTGTCCGTAGGTACAACTGCTGCAGCAGCAGGTGACGTCGCTGGCCGACACTCAGAGCACTGCTGACGACCGCTACGCACGAGTCAAGGCTGACAAAGCTGTGCTTCAGGCCAGGGTACATATGCTGGAGGAACAGTTCAGAGAGGTATGTTCCATACTTTGGTATACGAGTATTAGAGATGTTTGGTTGACTATCTTCACGTTAACTTTTTCGTTAAACTAAACTTAACGTTCACTTACAGTCTGAAAACGAGTCATACTCGTAAGATTAAGTGGCGGACTAATAGTAGTATTCGAATAACGAACCACTTCTTTTTAAATGGACTCATTTTTTTCCGTTTTGACTTTTTACAATATTGACAATAGTACGGTCAGTTTCTGTCTTTGAAATGTAAACAGTAATTCGCAATGACCTCATTCCTACTTTAGACATCGAGTGTAGAGCAAACGATCTAACCTCCAGTAGTTTAAATAGGGCAATAAATAGTCTTGTTATAACTTTTTGATGACCGTTCGCTACAGTGATGTATACACCTAACTCTGGTTCTAAATCAATACTAAAAATATCATGTCTTATTTGCTGTTAATGTATATTGTGGGAAAAATACGGTAGAATAATTCATAAAGAACTTACTTTAGTAATTTCAAGAAGTAAAGTTTGTCAGACGATTACGTGTGTTAACAAATAAGCTGAAATTAATAATATTAAGTAAACCAAATTAAAAACTAAAAAAAAATTAATCCTTATCGATTTCGTTTAAATGTTACAAGGCTGAGTAATCAAATGTAAATTATATCTAATTTATTACAATTATGACCAGAATTAGACATTTCTAGAAAGACTACGATAACATTTATCTGACTGCTATTAAAATTTCTAGCCAGTGCCATTTAATAAGCCTCTTAAATACTTTAAAACTCAATAATAACAACATAAGTGTAATCTTACTTTTTTACTAAAACTATAAATGCCAATTTTTGGATGGATGGATGGTTTGCAAGTATGTTCAGAACGGCTGCATGGATCTTGCTGAAATTTGGCATAGATGTAGAACATATTCTGGAAGAACACATAGGCTACTATTTAATATTTAGGTTTGTTTTTATTTCAACGCGGACGGAGTCGCGGGCAACAGCTAGTATTAAATTTCACTGTAAAGCATCTGTGTGGCCGTTGTTAATTAATTGTATAACATTTCCCACGCTGAAAGATTCAATTATATTGTCGATATAAAAGTGCAAGTCGTGTGAGCGATCGCGGTGTTGATTGAACGGAGTGAATGACCACCGACAGACTGACAGCCGGTTGCGCTTCAGACGCTCAATGAATGATTAATGTACACAAAAAGAAACAAGCTTAAAAAATAAAGCTGTTATTTGAATTTTTAGAAAAATAATCTGATTCGAGACAGAATTTGCATTGTATTAAGAACATTAGAGTAAGTTAAACGTTCGAATTTTCGTCAAATTACAAATTGAATTCGAACACGCTAAAACATGTCAGTTTATTAAGTCTTTAAACTGAACTTAATATTAGGTTGCATTTCTTAATAACGTGCTACTTTAATTAGAAAACACTTGTAATTCTAGACTTTTGGTTTGGGCCTACTGGCTTTTTTGTACGACTAAACAATTGCTTTGAAATATTAATTCTTTTGTTCTTCAATCAATATCATGAATGATTTCCAATCGACGTTAATAACGCTTCGGAAATAAACTGAAAACAATTTCATATCCTACTGGAATTGAAGGTAACTGTTCGATTAAAATCAAATCGTTTTCCGTCCATTTTGTATTTATCAATTTCTGAATCTTTGTTGCATGATTTACGTCTAATAGTGAAAATCAAATTATATTTATTCCACTTTTATGCATATTTTTATTAAAGTTTTAATAATAACAGATACAATTAAACTAAAAACGAATGTAGTAAGTTTAAAAATATGATTTGGTTTAAGAATCTTTACCACGACCTTTCAAAGTACGGGATATTTAAAGGTCAAATAGAGTCCTTCATGAAAACATATTAATTTTATAGTAATTTTCTTTAAAACAAGTTTGAACAACTACGCAGTGAATTTATTTGATGGCTTTGTGGCATAGCAACTGGGGGCTTTCGCCGCATGCAACCCCTGTTTCCGGTCATTAAGTTTGATAACAACAATGCCAAGGCTAGACGGCTTCGAAACTAAATAATCGCTTTGTTTTATATTATTGTTAGACCTCACTTATATAAAACAAATGTTAATTTCTACACAATTATGAAATTCTTAAACACTGTATTGGGTTGGGGTAATCAGAGAATAAAGACTAAAATATCAATAAAGCAGACAGTATTCTATAGATCACGTTACGTCCTCAATCAAGACAACAAATGTTTGTTGTCATTGCAAAAGTTAACCGATTCTTTTCGTTTATTTGTACAACTGTCTGTATGGCCAAATGTGTTGTTTACCAGATGGAGAGCAGATGCGAGGAACGTATAGCGGAAGAACAGAGACGTCATAGAGAAGCTATCGCTCGAGTGGAAAGGGACAGAGACGCGCAGCTCGCGGCTTTGGCTGACCGTCTTGCTGCCGCCGAGAATGAGGCGTCCGATCTCAAACAAGAGGTAACATATGACAAAACAGGAGAGAATATATTTTGTACAAATATTTCGGAAGTAGTAACTCACGATTAAATTTTCTTGTCTAATTGTTCTATGTATATCGTATAGACTAGACTAATTAAGAAAAAAATCATACTTCGTACACGTACGTTCTTCCGCAAAGTTATGTAAAAAATCATATGTTCTGGAACACATTGAATATTGTAACAGATAGACACGGATGTGAAACCGATCGATATATGTATTAAGCTTAAAAATCCAGGTCAAAAGTAATACTTGGTGAGCGTTCATATAATGAACTTTCGTCGACTGCACCTGAAATTATTCTTTCTTTTTTTTTGTTTCATTAAACCGTCTACTTTCCAATGCAATAAACCCGTTAAAATTACATAAGTAATCGATTTCGATCATTTTAATGCATAGCTCGTGAAAAAGTTCTCACTGTCACAGTACATGGCATTCCAATTCGAAAATTCGAAAAAAAAATTTTTATACCCATGTTACGTAATACAAATCATTTCTCTTAAATTACTCTTATTTACAACATATTTCGTAGCTTTTTACCATAAACTCAATATCTGCATAAAACTAAATCCCAATTCGTTACGGCTTAATTTATGAATAGCCAAAAATTATCTATAGCAAACCGGTTCAATGACCTTTCGTGACCTTGACCGGTTCATTTACAGTTCACAACACGATACAAGTTGCCACTTCCCAACAATTATAGGTAGGCCGTTTACGCGGTGTAGCAGAAACCCTCCGAGCTAACAGTGAGATGGCCACACGAGCTCAGCGCGAAGCACAAGAGGCAGTTGGAGAATTAACAGCAGCGCTGGCGTCCGCGCGGGAGGCGGAGCGGCGCGAGCGCGCGGCGTGCATAGCGTTGCGGGCACAGCTGGCCGCCGCGCAGAGAGACCTGGACGCCCGCGACACCGCACCTCCACCACCAGATCCTGACCCCAGGCTGGACGAGCTCAGGGAGGAGCTGGCGTTACTCCGCAACCAGAACAGATGTAAGTTATGATAGACGATGGAACTTTTAGATTGGTGCAATATTCCATTTTTTTTTTATTTCCATAAACATATATAAATTATTATACTAAAGCAAGGTATCTGTTTTAGCGCTGTGCGAGGCACAGGAGGAGCTGCAAGCGCAGCTGCTGACGCGCGGAGTGGAGGCGGGCCGCAGCCTGCTGCATGCCAGCTCGCCGTTGCTGGAGCACTCCCTCGCACACGAGCTCTCCCAGATGACTGACCACGAGGTACTCTTCCTTAACCTCTTATCACACACACAATCACACACTCAGTGGCCACTAAACAAAAGCCACTTAAAAGACTTGATGATGTGACAGTTCCTGTACAATTAATTGTGTTATAACTATTGTTAAAAAAAAACGGTAAATACTTACTAATTTTTTTGTCACATTTATTTATTTAAATTTATTTCAGTCAAATTTATAACAATCATACGCATTAAAAGGTTGAATTGACCTATTTGTTTGGGTCAGTTCTAGTAATTGCTACTTGACTATCTTCATGTTGGCAAAATAGTCTCGTATCATTTTATTATTTCGTTCTCTTCATTGTTGTTATTCAGAGCTATATGTCATTGAATGATAGAAGTAATTTGTTGACTCCGTTTTTGTTATAATTTGAACTAATGACAATGTTGAATATGATTTAAACAATGTGCAGCTTCCTATTGTGATGCGGGTTTTTGTTAAACAATCACATTGCTGCAAAACAGAGTCAGAATTCACAATGTCACGGATTTTTTAATACATTCCTGTGCCATCTGTGATAATGTTTAGATTCGATTTTCAATTATATTTTATTTTCACTTCACTAATTTTAGCCTTTTTATTCTTCAACACCTTAGCTGCCAGAATGATTTTTCGTAAAACGAAAAAAATTTACCCTCTGTTTATAAGCTTTATGGGGCCTTGCGGGTCACGCTGTATACAAGCGAGGTGTTGAATGGAAGTATGGCTTGTCGGACACATAGCCCGACACGGTAGCTAACGTGTTAAAGTAAAGCAAGCAAAACACAAAAAACTATCATTAATTTTTTAGGTATAAACATTTAATAAGATAATCAAACATTAAGAAACATCCGAATCAATGCTGCTTAAAATTTTTACATTATTCATATTTTGGCTCACAACTGCGCTAAAATAACAAGGTCATGCTTTGCTTGACATTGCCTCAATGTAAAATCGCAACATAATTTTATATCTTTATATATGCGTTTCAGCCCGTTGGTAGCACGCAAAGTGAACTCGGCATAGAGTTGGAAAAGGTACGCATACAAACAACTAACTGTGCATGTCTTTGTACAAAGCTCTTCTATTGCATGCTATGTATATATATGGGAATTATCGTGAATGCTATTTTGTACCTTTTTCACACTTTATCGCTTACTTGCTATATCACGCATTATACGCGAAATGCACAAGTATATCTTCTTTGTCCAATTTTTTTCACTTTCACCATCCATAACAGATTACACATTGTTTTGTTTGATACTACTAATTGACCTTCAAAATTTACGTGAACATAAAGCAATATCAGAAATTACTGTAATTAAAGTAATAGATTAAACAAAAATGTTCATAGTATGTCATATATAATTTGTATTATTTTGTTTTATATCTTAAAGTTTGATTTTCCCTCCCGTTTTGTTGTGGTTGTCACTGTCACGTGACTTTTCCCTAACTGTCAAATCAGGCATAGAGTATGTATAGTGTAGAAAGTTGAATTCTTAACAATTATATCTATTTTTAATAATCAAATTTCTCTCATTTCAGTTACAAAAAGCTTTAAAGGAACAGCAAGACGTGAACGTTCAACTGAGAGCCTACATCGATGGTATTCTACTTTCGATAGTCGAGAACTATCCACAACTGCTTGAAGTCAAATATCAGAAACCAGAAGAGAAATCATAACAAATAATATGCATAAAAATTCCCAACTTTTATTAACTATATTAGACATTTGATAATCTATAGACCTAATATTACTGTGATAAAATTTAAAAAGTAAACTATCATTTTTGCGGGTTACTATATTCGAAAAAATTTAACTCTTTATTTTCAAATTCAATTTATTCCAATTAGAATATTACAAATTCTGTTAAGTCGTCATATTTTACATTTTTATGCAATAATTTTTAAATGTAAATAGAATTCTGCATTATATTCAATAAAATAATATATATTAAAAGTATATAAAATATTAAGTGCCTAACAAACCAGAATATAGGCAATAGATAGATAAAACATTTACAATATAACTAAATGTAAATATTGCTTTAAGTAATGTTTGTATAAACAAGCAAATATTAATTCTGTTCCTCATTATCTCAAAACTTTTATGTATTTAAGATTTGTAATAAGAACTTGTATAGTATTGGCAGATTAAATTGTATACTAAATACTTTAAAACTACAAGGAAACTTATTCCCAAAAGCCTAAAATAATTTCTTTCCAAAGACATTATGGGCATTTTGCCCATAAATGTCATTATGAAGTTAAAAATATATGTTCTTCCCTATTTATAATAAATATTTTAACATTTAAAATAGCGTGTAGACTTTAATAAAGTGTGCAATATTAATCTGTCCTTAAATATGAAATGTATACAAGATCTGAACAAATTACAAAAATTATAAATAAATAAATTATAAGGCCAGGCCGTCCATAAAGTTTTATAGCTACTTAAAGCAATTTTAATGAAAGACTGGGAGCGTATTGCCTGGGAGACCCTTAAATTAAGATTGCTATGATAAATATATTGTAAATGATAATAATTTATATCAAGCCATTATATCGTATATTCAAAAGTTATGTTGAATATCTCATAATGTAATCTGTTCACAATACCTCGATATATTATTATAAATGAAAATAGCTCTAATTTAGATTTTTGAGACTAATAACATTAATATAAAACAACCACATGAAACAAACATGGATTCAAATTAAAAAAAAGTTTTAATCTGTGGTTGCGCATTAAATTTGACAGCTGACATGACATGTCTTTGTCGAATCAATATGTTTCGTGCAAATAGTAATATGTTGTAATTACAATAAATATCAAGGTATAGTGAACGAAATCTAGAAATATATGTTATAGTACCTTTTAAATAATTTTTATTAATATAGAAGAGATTGTGTAATTATATTTTTTACGTCGAAATATTTATGAAATAAGTTAGCATGTATTCACAATTTAGCATTTGCGTTACAACAACGCGAATGCAATCAATATTAATCCTTAACAAACGTCGAATGTGAATTAAATGAATGAGAAATAATACTTTTAAAATTCAGTCTTTTATTAATTATAACCCTTACAAATTTAATTGTTCGTTGTACCTTCCTTGTCACCCAAATTGTGTATAACCTTTTGTACGTCCAAACGTAACATCATAAACTTTGGATCCATGTAATCCTGGAAAATAATTGTTTATTAGTTTCACATAACCATAAAAGAAAATTGACCTAGGAAAATTTGATAATTTTTAAATACATACATAATACGATTTAGTAGATTTACGAGTAATAAAAATGAAAAAATTAATAATATAGTAATTACCTTAAAAGCACCAGACTCTGATGGCACAGTATCTGAATGAACACTATGAAAATTATCTCTTACATCCGTACGTTTTTCAATCGCAGTGTCATGTTTTAAAGCGAACGACCTTCCTATAAGATGCGCCATTTCCTGCTCTATTGCGCTAACAGCATGGCTCATATTCGCTTCACCGTAATCTCTAGACGCGGGAGCATCGTAACTTCTAGAAAATGCTGCATCGAAGTTATACTGAGGAGTTCTCGGTATAGCACGACATAAAGAGCATTGTTGTTTTCCCTCCATTTGCTTCCAATCGTTATGAAGATTGATCCTTTCGCGAGATAATACGATTTTTTCTTTAGCTATTTGCTTTTCTCTGGAGTTAAGTGATACGATATGTTCTTGCAGTTTATGCATCCTTTCTTCATACCTTCTCTGTTGGTTCTCAGCTTCCGAATACTTCTTTTCAGCTTGTGATTGTTTCTCTAAAGCTGCTTTTGTCAGCAAATCCAAATCCTTGCTCCTATAAACGTTTTTTTGAAGATACAATCAAATCAATTACTTTTTCAAAAAAAGAAAACTTCAAATTCTTGCATCCCGATAGAAACCATACTAAAATTTATGAACATAACTTACTTTGCAATTATCCGTTGTTCCTCCATATGTAAGTCTTGTTTCTCTCTAACTAATTTGGACCTCTCCTCCGTCATTTCTTCTAACTGCGCTTCAAGCTCGGCCTTTGTCTTCTAAAAAAAATGAAAAGAATAATCAGCCAAAATTCAGTCCTAAACATATTCTTAGAATTTAAAAAAAAACTTTTATTACTTCTAATTCCATCCTAAGACTTTGTACAGTTGCTTTTTCTTTCGCTACAAGAGAACTATCTTTTAGTAATTTTGACTTCTCTTCTTCTATTCTGGAAATCTTCTCTTTGTATTCCCGTTGTATTTCTTCCTTTAACATCTATAAAAATATAATTTAATAAATTATGACTGTACCATTAAATTTAATAGAAATTTTAAATCTACCCACTTTTACTTCTTCGTCTTGTTTCTTCAGTACATTCTTAGCAAATTCTGTTTGCTTACTAAATGTAGCTTTTTCGAATTCAAATTCCATTTTCTTCTGCTTTAATACTGCTGTATCTTCTTCAATCGTCTGTAACGAAGTCAACTAAATTATTTCATTGCCAAAAAATATACTCTTACTCGTTTCAACTGAAACCATTTACGCTATTTTTTTTAACTCTGAGATCAGATAAAAACAAACTTGTGATGACTCTGACTATGAGGTATTCTTATTGGAAATGTACTGTTCTACTTTACTTTTAATTTATTATTTTATATATCGAGATATACCGTTGTCATTTGCTTTATCCTAACTTCTAATGTTTGTATCGTGTCTTTGGTTTCACTCTTCTCCCTTTCAAAATATTCTCTCTCCTTTTTCAATTGTTGGATCATATCTAGAATTAAGAAGTCACAGAATTACTCCAACGACTAAATTAATATTATCATTAATATTTCAGAGTTCGCTTTTAAAAAAAATACCGTTAATTTGCGTTTCTCTAACTTGAAGACTTCTTTCTGCTTCACTCTGTGTTTTATCACTTAGAGTTGTAACTTTTTCAACTAAATGTTCACATTTTATTTTATTATCTCTAACATTAGCCAACAGTTCTTGTATATCTGATGAGAATCCTGCAGAATCTCGCATTAAAACTTGTTCCTGTTTTACAGCGTTTCTAGAACCGAATAAATGAACGTCAACATTCTTATATATAAAATTCTTGTGTCACAATGTTTGTTACTATACTGATTTTAAACGGCTTGACCAATTTTTATTAAATTTATATGCATATTTAGTAGGTCTGAAAATCTGCTACTGTCTATTCTTATTCCGCGCGGACGGAGTCGCGGGGGACAGCTTATTGTGGAAGAGAATTTGAAATTTCGATGGAAGTAAAGACAAAGACTTAAGAATGTATAAATTAACCTATTATTAAAGAACTAAGAATAAAATTGTAATAATAATACCATTTATGATATATAGGAATAATAAAATTAAATCTTCTTACTTAATATTCTCCATCAGAGCTGTGTGATGTTCTTGTAACACTTTCACATTCTCCATGTGCTGTTGTCTTAACATTTCTTTTTCAACGTTATGTCGTTCAATAAGCGCAGTCGTATTCTCTTCCGTCCACTTTTTATAAAGTCCATGATGCTCCTCCAACCAGTTAATTTTCTCCATGTAGAAATTTACCACTTTATCGCTCTCCTCTTTCATCCTTTCTTCTGTTTGACTTAGTGAAAATTCTAGAAAAGCCAGCTGTTTCCTAACCGAAGAATAACAAATTTCAAAATCAGGTCAGTGGGTAGGCGAAAAAGTTACACCGTTTCTAGATTAAAATACAAATTTTACCTGTAGGACGTTTCCATAAGGTCTATTTCTTTGTCGTGATTCTCCTGCAGTGATTGTATTAGTTGTAATAATTGTTTCTTTTCTTTATTACGAGGACTTTCTGTATTCTTTGAACCATTGTCATAATCTTCACCAATCATATCGCCATCTTGTCCTGTTTCATTGGAATCTAAAAGTGCCTACAATAATAACGTAATTCATCAGCTGTCTTTTGGTAAAACCTACACTTATATATTTATGACTACCTTTTACCTAAGCAAAGTTTATGATCTACCCACACTTTAATTTTTCAAAAAAGGATACTAACCTTTATTCTTTGTGCAATTCGATCTTGGTGTGCATTTATAATAGCTTGCATCTGTAGTCTATGGTTGGCTTGCTTCTGCAGCATGGCATCAAGTTGCGCGTGCTGCGCAGCGGTCGCCTCGCGGTGGACTCGCTGTGCTTCCTTCTGCTTAACTTTAACATTGCTATTTGAATACACAAAATAAAGCTTTCAAGGTTTTATAACCTGACGAGATAAAATGCTTAATTGCACTTACTAAGGTGCATCATTAGTTGCATTGACAACCAATTTGTTGTTACCCTTACCTTGGTTCCTTGATTTTTTTAATTTATATTAGACGGTAGCTTCCTTGTTATATAACAACTTTAAATATCGTTAATCTTATCTTACTAATATTATAAATGCGAATGTTTAGATGGATGGATGGATGTTTTATGCAGGTATCTCCAGAATGATTGAATGGCTGAAATTTGGCAAAGACGTAGAACATAGTCTGGAAGAACACATTGGCTTTTAATTAGGGGCGGAAGGAGTCGTAGGCGACAGCGTGTTATAGGATAAAAATTGCATATTTACCTTGCATTGCCGCAAGTTTTTCATCCTGTGCTTTTAATTGCAATGCCACCATTAACTGTGCCTCCTGCTGCTGCAAAAAGACCGCCGCGCCTTGGGTCGTAACGTCCTCTTCATTTTGCACCTCTACATTTGGAAATGTATTTGATTTTTCTAAATTGCTACTAATTTTTATAGAACCTAAATCTGTAGATTCTTTTATACCAGACAATTCATTACTCTGGTTTCTAGATGCGGGCTTGGGTAAATCAGGTTCTTTCTCCACTTCTTTTTGTGATTCCGTTTTACTGCGTTTTTCCAATGTTGTCTTTTTTACACTGCTACTTCCACCTAACCATGATGGCATATCAGGATCATCCTTTTCGGTCTCTTCATTTTCTTCTTGAAATATCCCTAGCCAATCTTCACTTGATTTTGTTTTCTTTTGTTGGACATTTTCATTTGAAGGCACTGGCAAAGGTTGTTTGCTTTGTTTCTTTGATGATAATGTTTCCTTCGAATCGTTTTTGCTTAAAATGTTATCCAAGTTATATTGTTGGTTTTTTATTGTCGCTGATTTTACCTGACTAGAATCTTTTGTAGGCTTCCCTAAAATATCATCTAATATAGATTGTGACCCCTTTCTTTTATCTGTTTGGTCCATATTGCTTTTTTTCGATCCGAGGATATCATCTAATATATCTATTTTCTCATTACTAGTGCCAATTTTAGATTTAAAAGGAGATTTTTTAATATCTGTAACTTCGTGCAAGTCTTTAGAAAGGGACAAATCGTTTCTCTTAGTATCAGCATTAGCCGATAATTTAAAGGAAGTTGAAGGTTTTAGCAGTTGGTTATCAGGTTTATTTTTCTCCGAAAACTCTGTTTTTATGGGAACTTTAGTGACAGCCTCTGGAGCTTCAATTCTCTTCGGTACGATGTCATGAAGCTTGGGCTCAGTTTTGTCATCTAAATCGAATAAAGCACTTTTCTTGTCTACAGCAGTGGTATTCTTTTTAGCTGGTTTCTTTTTACCTAATATATCATCATCAAAAAAACTGTCATCACTACCATCACTTAGAATCCCAGCAAGCGGATCATCTACATTGAAACTCATGATCACAATTAATATTCTGAACACATATATCCTGGATGGAATTAATCAGAACTAAATAATATGATAATAAGCAAAAATAATTTTTGTTTTTCACTTGTTACCTTAGCAACGGCATTAATTATAAAAGTTATTAACAATGTAGGTAATATAAATAAAGGTTTATACACTTTCTACATTTAATTTCTTATTTAATAAAAACGATACCAGCGAAAGCGAAAACATAACTGGGTAGAGTTCCATTCAGGAAAAAAAAACATAATATCTTTGTGCAGACTCCAAAAGACTCGTTCAATAATCTACATTTCCGAACGCGCCGGCTACCGGTGACGATTGACGATTGACAAAAAATTTGTTGCTTCACGTCAGCCACTGTATTTTTAATATTTTTTTCAAAACAACGGCATTTTTTATTGGTCTTTACTTATTTATTAAATAGAAAATTTTTAACGAATGAAAATATGGATTATATAGGTGAGTTGTCATATTAATCGTTCAAAATCTTTGTTAGCGCACTATTCTACCTAGGTCTTTTGTTCTAGAATTTTGCTAACTCACGATTCATTTTTAGCTTCTGGAAAAGGTGACACAACAGAAAATTGCGACCCAAACTTAATATCAAATGGAAATACTAAGACTGCTTTAGAAAAACAAATTGCTGATAATGATAAAGAAATCGCGGAAGCCCCCGCAGAGAGCGCGGCCTGCAGCTCTGAATCGATTGAAGATGCCGTTTGTGAAATTCCTGAACAAGTCGAATTTACAGTAGTTTTTAATAAAGTCAAACACGAAATTACATTTGCCTACGATGCGACCGTGTTAGAGTTAAAAGCTCATTTGGAAAGAATATGCGGAGTGCCGCAATCAGCGCAGAAATTAATTATAAAAGGCATGGCCCGGGATAACATGACACTAAGGAAAGCTGGAGTAGTCAAAGGTGGAAAGGTCATGTTGGTTGGCTCTAAAATGGATGATATATTGGCTGTGAAGAGTGCACCAAAGGCAAGTAAACAACATTTGAGTGCATGCTCCTTATATTTAGGCATTATAAAAGCTTTATTAATGTAAACAATTATAAGTAAGTAAAAAGTATATTAATAATTAATAGCTAACAAAGTGTCCAAAAGTGTTTAAAGCAACCTGAAGTATCCTCTTGTACATTAAAAACACTCACTACTATTGACAAATATACTTACTGTTACTCTCTTTCTAAGTTGAAATTTTAATCTCACATAAAACACTTCATAAACACATAAGTTCATATGAGTAACAACTATTGCATCAAATATAATGTTTCAGTACCATTTCAGGATGTAGATGAGAAATCTAGTAGTCAGTCAAGTAAGGAACCACTTTGCATGCAGAAGAACCATAGGAAAGTCCTTGATAAAGGCATCCCACCGGATGTGATGCCCGGAATAAAAGGTGTTAAGGTAATAATTACGTACAGTTGCCAAAAAAAAGTTCAATTTTATATGAAAAAAGCATAGTGGAAATTAGTTAGATGTAAGGGCTTGATTCCTGAAACTCTTCGATCGTGTGTTATCTATTTGTTGTTATTGGTTTTGTAGGAACCGCTGCCCCCTATCCCTCTAAGTGGAATGTTGAATAAACATGGGGGTAAAGTGAGGCTTACTTTCAAGCCTGAACAGGACCAACTTTGGGTTGGTACAAAAGAACGAACTGAGAAGCTTGCCATGACATCTATAAAAAGTAAGTGTTTGTCTTTGAATTACAGAAATACATTCTTTACTATTTTATGAATCATTGACATTGAAATGTTTCTAATTCTTTCTTAACCTTTAATCTTAAATTTTATTTGACTCAAAAATCTTGTCAATAGTCTTTGAATATTGTTATATCTACTTAATTATTGTAATATTTTTGTTATTAGGTATAACTTCAGAACCCATTAAAGATCATGAAGAATATCACATTATGGTAAGTAATTTATGCAGTTATCATGAGTTTTATTTCCTGAAACACTGATAAAAAATGTGACTTATAATATTATAAATACAGAAGTTTAGATGGATGTAAGGGTGTTAGAAGGTAACTCGGGAACAGCTCAATGGATCTTGATGAAATTTGGCACAAATGTAAAACATAGTGTTGAAAGACTAGATAAGCTACTTATTATTTTTTATTCTACTTGGATTGTGTTGTAAACGTCAGCTGGTTATATAAAATCCCTCGGACAACAATATGTCAATTTAGAAGATTACTCTTTGTAAGTGTACAATGATTTTAAAATCCAAACTGTACTATTCATTTTTATATTTATCCTATAGGGCCTCCAGTTAGGAGCAACAGAAGCGTCAAGGTATTGGCTGTATTGGGTACCCGCTCAGTATGTTGAAGCTATCAAGGATGCGGTACTCGGTGTTTGGCAATTTTTCTAATCAAAATTGTCCAATTTACTGCCCATTTATTGTCTGACTTTTTATGAACGCTACTTGGGTAGTTGCAATATTATAGAAATTTTATGAAGCTCTAGCATGCAAACGTTTTTGTTTTATCAAAATTTGACTTTGTCGATGATTTTTAAATTTCTTTTGTTACGCTAGGGTTTCTTTTATTTAACAGGTATATGAGCAAGACTCGATTTTTTTTTATTAAAGTATTGCTTATACACTATGTTTATTGTTTCTTTTGTGATATTTTGCCATGTCAGTTAAATTTGTCCACTAAAATACTGGCATCTATTTGATCAAATAAGAAATTATATTATTTTGTCTACTGTAAAATTGCATTTTTATGCATATTTGTGTTTTGGAGCTGTACAATTTTGCCTGATTATAATAATTCTTATTGGAAACATATTACCATAATATCAATAAGTGTTTGTTATAACTCTGAGCTTAGTCTCTTTGAGTTTCAAACCTGATCTCTATGTAAACTTTAAAATATTTGGTCGTTTAAATAAAGAATTAGTTGCGAGAACACAAAGTTGCAGATATTATGTATTCGTGGTGGAAGAAATTGTTCTCTAACTTGGCTTTCCCAATTAAGTCTTTATTTACTCATATTGATCATAGAAATAGATGAAAAAAAGTTTAAAACTATATTTGTTTTTATTAAAACCCATTCCTTATAAGTAAATACTTTATTGAATACAATAATATAGTTGTAAAAAAATAAATAGTAGTCACACTACAAAATGGCACCTTAAATTAATAAATAATGTATAGAAAAATACTAAATATTTGGCATTTGGATATGTTTACAGCATAATACTTTGTACTCTTAATCTAAGCATATTCAGACTGCAATGTGACAGAAAACTGCCCCTTTGGTATACTAGTTGCGTGATACCACACTCTTGTATCCAACAGCACTGGAAATATTAAAAAGTTAGTGAAAGTTTTATTAAAAAAGATTATTGAAGACAGATTATTGGATATTCTTACCAACATCACCTGGCTCAACGTAATATTCAAATTTATGACACACATGTTCACATTCAGGTACTGGGGCTATGGACCAGTTTTTGCTGCCTTTTATCTGCCCTTGCCACATCAGACGAGGAATATAATCCAACTGGAAATACCACTGTATGAAAATCATTAGTTCATAGCTTACGCATAACATTTAAGTAAATTTAATAATATTTACATGCATTACAGCCCCAATCTCGTAACCAAAGAATATATTTTCAGTCTCTGGAAACTCAGCATCATCAGGTAAAAATTCTGGTATACTGTAGTATTGCCTTATTTTTGATCTGATATCAGGATGACAGTTTGCCCTAAAAATTAATGAAAATCATATTGAAATCATGTTCATATGTGCAGCAATTTAATTTTTTGCATTTTATTACACTTACCATCCAACATACCAAGGTTTATAACCATGTTCATTCCTTACTCTTTCCTTAGGCATATTGAAGACTTCTTTTAAAGAAAAAAGGTCAGATTTAAAGTTAAGGAATTGACAACCTTCTTCAAATAATTCATAACTTCCCATTGTGCGTTCATAAAGTCTTTTAAATAGATAGTAATTGAAGTATTTTATTGCTCTCCAGTGGTTAATAACATTTTTTATCACAATTGGTTTTGATGTGTAAGCATGTTTCTGAAATAGATTCCAATGAGAAATTAATAAAAACAATATTTTTTTTACTAAGATATAACTGGTGCAAATTACGATCTTACTTTGAAGCTGCCACGAGTTACATTTTGTAGTATGATAGGTTTCGTAATGTTCACACAATAGTCGCAATCAGCGAGAGGACGCGTCGCTTCCCACATCAAGTAATTTAGAGGTACTAGACATCTAGCAGTCAATATATTTTGCACAATACTACTTAGAACCACAGTTAATATCGCCACGATTATTATCGGAATTATGATTCTTTTGTGCGTTTTATTGATTGTGTTTTCTTCTGCAAAGTTACAAATATAATCAATTTGTTTCAATGTAGATGATCGTAACCCCTTTCGTAAGCCACTTATTTGTACATTTTTTAAACGCTTTTTTACGTAATAAACATATGGATCCGACTTTCTCATTATGCCATTTCACAGAAGAGTAAATATTGTATTTGTTTTATAATTTTATTAATAACATATCCAATACAAACTAATCAATTTCAATTTAAAAGTTGGATAAATTGTTTATGTTTGTCAAAGTACAAAGTTTGCCTGTATCACTTTGCTTTTTCACTGAAAAAAACTAAAAAACAAAAATGTTTTCCAGTTGCTTTTATGTTTAATGTTGAGAATTTTCTTTAATAAATAGACGATTTTAACAGACATATTTTGAGGCAAAATATGAGATAGTTCTAAAGAATTTTCGCAAAAATTGTACAAAAAAGTAAATTCTTTAAAGTCATCAAAGAAGTTTTGTTACGTCTATGGTCTGACCTGACGCTAGCTGTCATGTCAATCAAGTCAACGAACTGATGAACTTGGCGGTTTTAGGATTAATTCGATTAAAACAAAAAAATGCCTCCTAAAAAGCGCGATAAAGACAGTGAAACAAACAAAAACTCTAAAATAGATCATTTACAAGCTGATCATGAACTGTTTTTACAAGCCTTTGAAAGTAAGTTAGTAACAGTAGCTATTGATATGCAAGCGTTCATGTTTGGTTAATTTCTGCATTATCAAAACTATTTGATTATTCTATTTTTCCAGAGCCTACACAAATATACAGATTCTTGCGAACGCGGAATATGTTATCGGTATGTTCATCTTAAAGTTTTAAAGTCGTATATTTGTTAAAGTAACGCGTTTACTACATAATTTCCTCTCACTTTTCTTACAGCCAATATTTCTCAATAGAACATTATCATATATGAAACGAAGAATGTCGAGAAGTAATAAAAGTAGAATCGGCTTCAAGGTAGATTCATTATTAGAAAAAATAACATTAAAAAAGAGTACAGAGATTCAGCCAAACAGTTTAGGCGGCTACATGACGCTCACATTTTTAGGATTTTACGATAAAAGTTTAGATGATCCCAGAGATTATCAAGTGAAAGTCGAAACATTACTATTAAAAATTTGCCACAAGAAAAGAAAAGAAAGTTCATCAGCCATTATTGAAGTGTCTGTAAGTATTTATGTTATTAAAATATTTTAATCCCTTACAGTTACAGTAAATTGTTAAAATCATTTAAAGGATTTTTATTGGATTACTGTCACTTTTTGTATTTCAGGATTTTTTATAAGATGTAGTGCTACCTTATATTACAAAAAGCACTATATCTTGTAATTAAAATTCAAAATCAAAAAAATATTTTAACAGATATACTTCTAATCATATTAAATATTGATTAATACAAATAAAAAAGGAGAAATTACACTAAGGAGAATAAATTCTTGTATCATTTAAAATTCTACAAAAATGTATCCAATTTCAGGTTGGCAGTTGCTCAGTCCCATTAAACCCATCAACGTCAGAACCTCCTGCTATGGCATCAGCAGTTAGTATATCTAGTGACACATTCAGTCCATCACAGGGCCCTAATGTCAAGTCTTACATGCTGATGCTTAGAGTCACAGTGACAAGAGCTGCTAGTAACACTACCACAAACAATGCAACAAGTTCCACGGAAATCACCAATGGTGATAGTGAAGGTATAATGAATCTAATTACATCAGATGTGAATAAGAATGTTTAGATGAATGGATGTTTGAAGGTATCTCCAATAGCTTAACAGATCTCAATAAAATTTGGTCTAGATGTAGAACATAGTCTGGACAACAGACAAGCTAGTTATGTTAGTTTTTGTAATAACAGTTGGTTTATAAAAGTGATAAGTAAACCAAAGTTAAATCTTTCGTTATAAAAATTGTATTAGTGCACCATATTCAAACTCATAATGGAATTTACAAAAGTAATACATACTATTGTTTGCTAATTTTTTTTAATAATTTCAGAGCCTTTAACCAAACGCATAAAATCTGCATCCGATCACTTAAATTCGACAACGGAAAATAAATGGAGCAAGCTCTATGGCAGTGAGTTGATTGTCTATGACAAGCATAATCGCTGTTTACTTACGAATGGAGAGTATGACTTGGTGCTTCACGATGCGACTCCTGGCAGTAGAAGTGCTACCATCACTCGGTCACCTCACAAAGCTCTCATGGCTCAGTGGGAGACAATACCTAATGTAAGCAAACAATTAAAAATAAAACTTTTTTAATAAATTATTTAATACTATAATCTGCTATGCGTAATATTGTGCTATTCTGTTGCTTCGCTATGTATCAAACGCCTGTTAAAATTTACTGTAAAATGCATTGTGAAAAAATTGCGATAATATAAAATAATTAGGCATTTAAATCTGTGTACTTTTTAAGGAAAATGATGTGCAATCAGAATCAAATCCATTTGATATATTCAAAGTGAGACCTTTATTGAAACTCAAGTTGAGCTGGAGTCAAGAACCTACCAATGGTCTGGTGAACAGACCAAAACTGTACCAACAGTCTACCGAAACTAATGGAGTGAAAAAAGATTGTGTTAACAAAGACCGGTTACCCACACAGAAGTGTCATGCAAATGACATTAAAAATGGTGAGTTTTTAATTCATATTTAAAGTTTTATCACAAAACATGTGTGGACATTTTGCTATTTTCTTTACAACTATCCAAAAAATCATCATCATAAACCTGCCCTTACCTTGCGGAGGGTCAGCACAGTATGTACTACTTCTCCATACATCTCTATCAGCCGTCATATCTGAATCTACCCCTTTCCTATGCATATCTTCTTTCACACAATCCATCCATACTTTCTTGGCTCTTCTATCTTTGTAGCCATCCACATTCAATCTCATTATTTTTGCTTATATCATCATCCCTCTGCATAACATGTCCAAACCATGCTAATCTGCTTGCTCCTCAATTTCTTGAAAAAAATTCCTCAATATACAAAAAGTTCGTAATCTTCTTCCAGTAAACTTTTTCTAAGTTACTTTTTCGATTAAAATTCTCACAAATAAGATGTTTGTCACATTCCAATAATACAACTAAATTATTTACAATTATAAAGTTTTAAAAGAGACAATTTAACGTGTTTTATATGATCATGTGTAAACATTTGTAGGTGACAAGTCTAAAGTGGATACCACTGAAGGTGATGGCAAACGTCAGCAGATTATCTACCAGTTCCTGTACAATAATAACTCGCGTCAGCAGACTGAGGCGTGCGATGATTTGCACTGCCCCTGGTGCTCGCTAGACTGTGGCGCACTCTACTCCTTGCTCAAACATCTCAAATTATGTCATTCTAGATTCAATTTCACATATTTTGTAAGTAATAATACCTTTTAGATTTTTATAATAGTGTTTTTTACTAGATTTGTTTGATAAATTATTGGATAAGTTTGTCTAAAGTATTGCTACTACTTTTTCTTTTAATTAATGAAGGCTCAAGCGTTTTTTTCGATTATTTCCTTAATATCTAGGTTGTGCATAATTGAAAATGTAACGAGCGATTTAAAATTAAATAGTAAATGATAATCTAGATCAGTGGTTCCCAAACTTATTTTGTCTACTGCCCACTTTGAGAATAAATATTTTTTTAGCGCTCCCATATTTTCACATATTTAAAAACCACTATAACTTCAAATTAAATTAATTAATTATTGTGACCTATATATGTATATTAACGGAGAATTCTAAACGAAACATTTACTAAAACCCGCAACTTGAGACCTGCAGTGCCCACAAGGGGGCGTTATCGCACACTTTGGGAAAGACTGATCTAGATAGACAATAAATTGTTAGAACTACTATAATAATGAGCGAGACCAAAAAAAAAATTACAAAACATCTTTTCAATATAACATTGTTAATTTTTGCATATTGATGACAATTTTGTCAAAAAAAAAACTTATAGTTATGTACAACAGCAATGATCTTACTATTAATGAAGTGATAGCTTTTACTACAATTTGATTTCCTGGCACAGCCGATCCCCGGAGGTGCACGTATAGATGTATCAATCAACGAGCTGTACGACGGGTCGTACACCGGCTCTCCGCACGACCTGATAGCGGCGCAGGGGCGGGGGTGCGGGGGAGGGCCGCGGGCGGGGCCCACACGCCGCGCCTCACTCACACACGTGCTCGTCTGCCGCCCCCGACCCCGACCTCCTCGCACCAAGCGGCACAGCCTCGCAGAGTTCCTCGAGCTGGATGACGCTGATGCTGAGTCACAGCGACCATATCTCACAGGACATAACCGGTAAGTATTTAGGATATCATTTTTGCTATGCGACATGCTGCATTTGATATTGATTTGATGCGATCTATAGTTAAACAAGGATATCTCAACTGTCGCGATTGTTTCTGTCAGATCTTATTAATGTTATAATTGCGAATGTTGGGATGGATTAATGGATGTTTGTTAGAAGGTATCTCCAAAACGGTTGCATAGATCTTGCTAAGATTTGGCATAGATGTAAAACATAGTTTGGAGGAATACATAGGCTACTAATTAAGTTATTTTTAGTGCCGTTCAGAGTCGCGGGCGACAGCTAGTATATCTATAAAACTACTTAGACATAGAAAATTATATGACAACTACACCAAGAGGATCTTGTGACATTTTTTGGCGGTGACAGGGGGGCGCTAGTGAGCTATCATAATTTAGTTTGACTTATACCCACTGGTTCAGATATCCGTGTCGGTCTATGATAAAAAGTTTATATAGAAAGTATGGAACCATGATCGTCATCAAATTCGATGTATAATTTTCTCGTTTCAGTTTATATCATCACACGATAACCTGTCTACCTGTGTATCCTAACGAATTGGATATAGATTCAGAAAGTGAAACAGATCCGTTGTGGCTGCAACAGAAGACTATGATGATGATAGATGAGTTCACAGATGTCAACGAAGGAGAGAAGGAACTCATGAAAATGTGGAACCTTCACGTTATGAAATACAATTACGTAGGCGATTGTCAAATACCACTCGCCTGCCAAATGTTCCTACAAATGAAAGGCAAGGAGCTACTAGAAAAGAATCTATACAGAAATTTCATACTACACATGTGTTCCTTACACGATTTCGGACTTTTAAGTCCGGTTGCTTTATACCAAACTATACAAAGGCTGAACCAAATGCTGGCGGACAA